CTGGGATATACCCTGGCTGGGTTTCCGCCACTAAAGAAGGATTCTCTGTTCTTATTCACATTCATTTTATTATTATTATTATTATTATTCTGCACCATACAGCGTTTCTTCGCCAGAGGTGGTTTATTTGATATGAATATTCTTTTATATATTTACATTATATTACATTAATTGAATTGGTACACAGAGAAAAATTAAATCATTTTCGCGTAGCAAAATATTGTAATGTGACGAATTCCAACACATGTTGAGATTTTCACAAGAAATGTTTTGTTCCATATTCACTCAGTGAATGAGGAAATTTAACTCAAGTATTTGTCAATTGAGTGACCGTTTGCATACGTTGTCTAATTTGACAAGTAGTTTCACTCAGTTTTGAGATTGTCATTTGTGTATATTTGCATAAAATTTATTACTCTCTCCATAATCTATTTCTTTTAAAATATTCATTAATTCTCTGTTTAACAGTATTTGTACTCGTGTTAAAATCAATTAAAAAAGTATCACAGACTGGAGTAGGAACATTATGATAATTCTTATTTTCTTTATGAGTTAAAGGTGGCTTAATTGGCACCAACTTGTTATAGAAATCATTCTAAGCATTGTTTACCCATTTTTCCGCACCACAATTGAATGCATTTATACAAAATATTATTATATGGCACGAACACATCGAGAATTTAGAATGGAATCAAAAAATATATTCAATTTTTTTTTACAAATTCACTTTTTTTCAAAGTAAAATTTGGTTGGTCGAGCATTTTCCGATTTTCGTCAAACATTTTTCGATTTTCGTCAAACATTTTCCCATTTTGGTCAGACAATTTCCCATTTTGGTCAAGCAAAATCAATTTAACCTTTACATAGTGAATGATGCATAAAATTAAACAGATCATCGGTTTGATGCAGCATCTGTTGCAGATGCAATAATTTTTGTATGGAAAATATTTCTTGTTTGCTATGGATTGGAACTATTCGTTACATATTTTGTCCATATCTCTCTTGCTTTTGATTTCGGATCCTTTTGAAATTTGTAATTCGAACTAGTTGAAACATTCGAAAATGACAGCAGTAACATCAGACCACACTTCAAAGTTTGATGCTGTCATCGAAGTGTGTGACTGTGTGCGCTGTTCGTTCATTACTATTTCATCATCGCATTTAGTAGTACACAACACGCTGCCGTGCATTGATAACATCGACACGTTTAACTCAAAAAATATTTTCATTTATTCACATCGCCATTTTAGCTCGGCTCAGTAGAGTCAGTCTAAAACATTGTGCTCTATAAATTGTTGTAAATTATTAGCGAGTTTTTCCTTTTGACTCACTTAACTGCACTTTGTTGGAATACAGCGTTCGATTTGCGATTAATTTATCAAAATAAAAAGTTTTTTTTCTGCACAGAAAGGTGAGTTCCAGTGTCAAATGCCTATATGTCATACACTAGAATGGTTTCGTGTGCTATTTTTCTAATGAGATTTTTTTTCTGATTTCCAATTGACAGCACCGAAATTGTATCGCAATGAATGGTCAGGGTGCAGAGCCGCCTGATAGGCACAAGCCAAATAACAACGCATTCCATGATGATCTGATTTTATGTGAAATGGAAATAAAACAGGAGCCGACGGTCAAACAAGAGCCAGAAAATGACGACGGCATTGTGACGGTGTCGAGACCACCACGTACGGTCAACAGTGTGGCACTTGATATTGCGATTGGCAAGGAGCAAATGAATGGAAAAGATGTTTGCTTTGATTTTCACGATTTGGCTGAAGTAAAGGTTAAGATTCAACAGGAAAGTCCGATGAAGCGTCTATCGAATGGTGGTGCTGGAAAAGTTTGCAAGAAGAACAAAGAAAACGGTGTTCGTGACATGAAGAAGCCACCTGAAGGCAAGGCAACTGGAAAACGACACAAGTGTTCATTGTGCGAGTATGTCACTGATTTTGACAGTTATTTACATCGGCATATGCTTAAACACACCGGTGAAAAGCCGTTTCCATGCACCATTTGCCCAAAACGATTCATACAAAAACTACATTTGCAATCACATATGAAGGCACACGTCGATGAATTTCTATTCAGTTGTTCAACTTGTTTTCAAGGATTTCATGGAAGCGGGGAGAAGGTGGAACATGAATCTGATTGTAAGGTGCGTCGCTACGAGTGTCATCTGTGCAAGGAATATTCTACTGTGTACAAGACGAAATTGAAAGATCATATGCGCGTGCATACTGGCGAAAGACCATTCGAATGTGACCATTGCTTGAAGAAATTTACTCAAGCAAATCATTTGAAAGTCCACCTCAAATCTCACACCAATCCTCGTCCGTTGAAATTCAAGTGTTCAACTTGCTTCAAGATCTTTGCGCAACAAATGGAAAAAGAAAATCACGAAGCCAATCGCAAGCGACGTGGATACGAATGTGATCTATGCAAGACGTACACAACAAATCGTAAGGAACATTTGATGACACACATGCGAATCCACACTGGTGAGAAACCATTCCGATGTGAAAAATGTTCAAAATGTTTCAATTTCAAATCGAGCATCAACAGGCACCAGAAAGTACACAATTAGCTCTCTACCAATTAAGGATAAGCAATTGAAACCTTACATAAGGTATGAAACAACTTACTTTTGAACAAATTGCTTTGAATAAAAATAAACACAAGGATGTATTAAGCATAAAATCTGGTCTTTTTATTTAAAAGTTGAGGATAGATTGTGTTAATTGTGCAGCTTCATGAAGCTGACCTAAATTAATATTCTCTCGTTTGTGACAGGTAGTGTTGGCTCTTGGAAAAATGACATTTGAATCTGCCGTATATTGTTGTTTTCAAAGTGATTTTTTATGTACGATGGTATCGAATCCTTTTTTCAATTCAATCCACAAATCCACTTCAATCTTATTTCAATTCATTGATTCCAAACGTATTCA